TACCTTGCAAAGGGTAATACTATCACTGGTCAATACTACGCAGACTTATTGCAACGTTTGAGCCACGAGGTGAAAATTAAACGACCTCATCTGGCGAAGAAAAAAATCTTGTTTCATCACGATAACGCACCAGCGCACACGTCAATCGTTGCGACGGCTAAAATCAACGATCTAAAGTTTGAATTGATGCCGCACCCTCCTTACTCTCCAGACCTAGCCCCGAGTGACTATTTTCTGTTCCCTAATCTCAAAAAATGGCTTGGCGGTAAGAGATTTGCGGACAATGAAGAAGTAATCGAAGCTGTAAATGGTTATTTTGAGGAGCTTGACGAATCAGTCTATAGAGATGGCATTAATAGACTGGAACACCGCTATGAGAAATGTATCAGCCTTGGAGGAGATTATGTTGAGAAATAAAAAAAAAAAATTTTTAAAAACCTTGTTTTTCTTGGTCAGGCCGGAAACTTATCAATCCACCCTCGTATATGGTTTTCGGACTAACGAATGAAGTGATGATATGATGAAGGACCATAGATGATTTTCGCTTCGAACAGCCTCCAGACTAACGACTTTAATATGATAATACCCTAGATGATTAGGCCTTTCTGAAGTGGGTCACAAAACATTGTGCTTAGACCAGTTTCAGTTGTGATGATGATAGTTCTATACATGATTAGTCCTTCCTAAACCGTGCTGCAATCACCGTAGATGATTAGTCCTTCCTAATCCGTGTCACAAAATGTTGCGCTTCGAGCAGTCTTCGAATTGGCGAGTTAAAATGGAAATAGAATGTAACCCTTCCTAAACCGTGCTACAAGGAGCGTACATGATTAGTCCTTCCTAATCCGTGCTGCAAGGACCATAGATGATTAGCCCCTCCTTTTGCTTCGAGCAGTCTTCAGTCTTTTCTTTGATTTTGACTTTTTGATGATGATAAAATCATGGGTGATTAATCCTTCCCTTCCTGAGCCGTGCCACAAAAAGTTGCACTTCAAGCAGTCTTCGAACTTAACGACTTTCTGATGATTATAGGATCATACATGATTAGTCCTTTCTGAACCGTACTACGAAACATTGCGCTTGGAACAGCCTCCGGACTAACGACTTTATTATGATAAGACCCTAGATGATTAGGCCTTCCTGAAATGTGTCACAAAACATTGTGCTTCGACCTGTTTCAAACTAACGACTTTGTGATGATGATAGTTCTCCTAACTCATGCTACAAGGACCATAGATGATTAGTCCTTCCTAAACCGTGCTACAAGGACCGTAGATGATTAGTCCTTCCTAATCTGTGTCACAAAATGTTGCGCTTCGAGCATTCTTCGAATTGGCGAGTTAAAATGGAAATAGAATGTAACCCTTCCTAAGTCGTGCTACAAGGACCATAGATGATTAACCCTTCCTAAACCTTGTCACAAAATGTTGCGCTTCGAGCAGTCTTCATCTGCGAGTTATTATGGAGATAGGATTTAACCCTTCCTACACTGTGCTAGAAGGACTACAGATGATTAGTCCTTCCTTAACCGTGCCACAAAACGTTGCACTTCGGACTGGCGAGTTAATAATGATGATAGTATTATTGATGATTGACCCTTCCTAAACCGTGTCACAAAATGTTGCGCTTCCATCAGTATTCAAACTGACGAGTTAATATGGAGATAGGATTTAACCCTTCCTAAGCGGTGCTACAAGGATTATAGATGATTAGTCCTTCCTTAACCGTGCCACAAGACGTTGCACTTCGGACTGGCGAGTTAATAATGATGATAGTATTATAGATGATTAGCGTTTCCTAAATCGCGTTAGAAAATGTTGCGCTTCGAGCAGTCTTCAAACTGGCGAGTTAATATGAAGATAGGATTTAACCCTTCCTAAACTGTGCTTGAAGGGCCTTAGATGATTAATTCTTTCTAATCCGTGCTACAAGGACCGTAGATGATTAGTCCTTCCTTAACCGTGCCACAAGACGTTGCACTTCGGACTGGCGAGTTAATAATGATGATAGTATTATAGATAGTGATGGGTCGTTATTCCGTTAACGTTATTTTGGAACGTTATTTTGTTGCAACGTTACGGAACGTTACTGTTTATCGTATAACTCGTTACTGAGGAACGTAAAGTGGCAAGCGCTGCAACACAACAGAACAGATGAACGGAACGGATGGACTATCGATAATCATTTATGTTTAAATGAATCTATCATATATTTATAAAATGTGTTTTATTTTAAATTTTATGTTGTTTTTATTACCCCAACTTAATTATAATTTGAAAATAATCGAAAAAGCCGTTTTGATTTTTTCAAAATAACGTTATTTAATAACGTTTTTTAAAAACGTTATTTTTATTCAAAGTTCCAATTTACAACGTTATCGAATAAGAATCGTTATGCCCATCACTAATTATAGATGATTGACCCTTCCTAAACCGTGTCACAAAATGTCGCGCTTCGAGCAGTCTTCAAACTGCAGAGTTAATATGGGGATAGGATTTAACCCTTCCTAAGCGGTGCTACAAGGACTATAGATGATTATTATTACCTTAACCGCGCCACAAAAGGTTCACTTCGGACTGGCGAGTTAATAATGATGATAATATTATAGATGATTAGCCCTTCCTAAACCGTGTCACAAAATGTTGCGCTTCGAGCAGTCTTCAAACTGGCGAGTTAATATGAAGATAGGATTTAACCCTTCCTAAACTGTGCTACAAGGACTATAGATGATTAATTCTTCCTAATCCGTGCTACAAGGACCGTAGATGATTAGTTCTTCTTAATCCGTGCTACAAGGACCGTAGATAATTAGTCCTTCCTAAACCGTGTCACAAATTGTTGCACTTCGAACTGGCGAGTAAAAAGGGAGATAGAATTTTAACCCTGCCTAAACCGTGCTACAAAGACCTAGATTATTAGTCCTTCACAAAATGTTGCGTTTGTATCATACTACATACAGTTACCTTTCAACTAGTCTTTGGATTAACAAAATTGTGATGATATTGGTAGTCGTATCAATGACTTAATGATGATGATGATGGAATCATTAATAATCAGCCTTTTTCGAACTGTATTGTTGAAAGGAAACCGCAACTGGGCTATCTAAAATGACCCTTTGGAAAGGTTAAAGGGTTTCTAACGTTATTACAACACTTATGGGAAAATTATACAGTTGTATGCTTGTGTCATTTGCATTTGACCTAAATTTACTAAACTATTTATATTTTCGATTTTTCAATAAAAGTAGTGAATGCAGAAAAATAAAGTTTTCATTTTGAGAGGATCTTTTAAAAATTCGCTGTTGTGTATTTATGTAGTTGTGTGTGTGTGTATGCTGTTGAGTATAGGTCCTTGTCAAGAGCATATTCGGAAATAAACAGACGGAGGGGGTACAGACCGCGTAAAAAGACGTCAACGTAAAAAGTGAGAGGAACAGAGATGAATGACAGAAATTCTATGATAGGAAACGGGATGAAAAGTGCTGTGCGCGATGGTGGGCGGTTTTTATTACGTTGGCAAGGCCATCGAAGTCGGCGGTGAAAAACATCGACACCCACCTAATGTTCTCTTGCGGCGTTGAGATATCGCCACGTTTTGATCGGGTTAGTCGCGTTTGGCAACGGTGCACGGAACTGGTCACGACCGCTTTTGTTTGCGATTTCGTAATGTACGAGGGACGTAACATAATTAAGGTCAGCGCCGATGGTTTAGGTAGTCTTACGTCTCGGTAACGATTCGTTTAAAAATAGAAACAGTACAACTTCAGCGTATTTCCTAGTAGACAAAAATTTTAATATTTATGTATTTATTTGACAATGTGTTTGTTTCATACAACTTTTTTTACGCATGTTTCCATGTCTAAAAATAGGAAATTGAGAATCTGTCTTTACAATTTTGTTGGTGTGGGAAATGCCGTGGGATATAATAAAATTTACACTCCAGTAAAAGATGTAGTACCTATCCATTATTAATATGCTTCATGATTTGTTTTTATTATTAATTGTAATATTTTATGACATTGTTACTGGAAAAGACTGTCTTACAATTTGTCTCATTTATGTTTTATTCGTGGAGCCACTGATTTTTCGACGGCCATTATTCAGTTTAAAAATAAAATGTAACGAAGCATAGCGAAATATCACTGCTTTTACAAAAATTTTGATTTATAGAAGTTTCTTGTCCGTCTGCTTTGTTTTTACGATGGTTAACTGCCGCAGTTGAATTCAAGACTGAGACAGACAGTCTTCTGTACCCTTCTCAGCTCGTCAGTGTTAGTTACGCCTTCGCAGGCGGAGCTTCTTCCCCCGCCAATTTCTCATTCTTGAATTATACGCCAACAATAACAGTTCTAATACAAAATTACATTAGAAGTATTAATGTTTTAAGTAAATTCATGTCTATTTACATTTACCCACGAGAAACGTGGAGGAAATTGCTGACTGGGAACGAGGTCAATGTAGCTTTAATTTATAATGTTTTTATGTAAGGAAAAACTACCAGCTGTCTATTCTTGACATCTCATGATGGATATTTGATGTTAAAATAATTTTTTTTTAAATACAATGTACATAGTATGCAGATTATTCATATTATTTTAGGAAAAACGTTGCATCACTGTATGAGTATTTTCTCTTGTTTTTACTCGTAACATTGGAGTTTCAAACTTTATAGGAAACCGAATATTTATTGACGAACAAAGCATTATTAACGCGCATTATCACTCTTCCGGATCGCCTTCACGTCTTCTTCGCAGTTTCGTATACTGCAGCGATATGATTTTGATTCCTTCAAGTTGACTAAAATCTCCCTCCACGTTCGGTAGCTCCGCCTATTACGTCGTTGGTGGGGATGAAGCATCGATGGCGTCTCCGCGCTTACCAATAAACGCACGCGTAGCTGTAAGCGACGGCTTACGTAAGTCCTGATTCCGACGTACGTGTGTTTTTGTGCCGACGGCGTCCTAGGGTCAATGGTTTTAATTTTTGGTCTTCCCCTCCACTGATACACGCGAATGTATGCGGCGGTGCCGGATTTATCGTTTTTGCAGCGAACAGTAGTGTAATTTATTTCCTGCTGGTATAACTACGAACTGGGCTGGCTGGGTTAGTTACCATTGCTGCGGGTGATTGGTTTGTTTATCGGAGCGGGATTTATGGGAAAAGAAAAATGAATAGTTGGCGTCATAGCGCGAGACTGGTTTTGGCGCGGTACTCGGTGTATTCAGGTCATTATGCTTATTCGTTTGCTGGGGTTTTTCGCAATAATTGCATTTCCAGTTGCTTCTTGTATAATTTACGACTGCTCAATTAATAGCTTTGATCTGTTATGAATATGTTTATAAAGGTTTTTTCATGATACGTATTACATGTTATGGACAGGCATTGAATGTATTTTGATTACTTATTAGGATTCGAGAAAGAGTTTTCTGGAAACTTAAAAGTAGAGATTTTCTTGGATTATTTTTTGAAACGTAAAATCGATGATAAACTCAGTACAAATTAGTAATTTAAATGGAATTGTTGACAGTATTATTTAATCAATATTGTATATTGTATATCTTATCAAAAAATAATGCACATTTCTATCCGGAAAAGGATTCAACAGTATGCATTTCAAAAAGAAACTAAGCATTCGCCGGGGTTTGAAGTCATTAAGTTTTGTAGTTAAAACATGAAGGTGAATAATGAACCTAGGGGTAGATGATTTATTTACCGTGTGCAGTAGACAGAACACCAGAGTTTTATAGTTGCATTATCGATGGTTGTTTCTGTTTAATTTTTGCGACGTGTTACTGTTTTCCTTTATGTTACTGTAAAAATGAATGCGTGGCTTCCTTTATTGGAATTTTTTGAAACATTACGTTTTTCTTCGCAGGCCATCACACAGCCAACAGCCAGAACTGTACAAGCCATCGCGTTCCCCACTGGCGTCGGCTGCACGTTACCCGTACCCGACGGCCTCCCCTTCCCATCAGCAGCAGCAACAGCACTTGCAACCCCCCGGAGGCGGAGCAATCCATCAGCACCAATCGTCTCAGCAGCATCAGTCTCCCCACCACCAGCAACCACATCCACAACTCTCTCAGCCCCAATCGCAACCTCAACAACCACCCCAACCCCCGCCACATACGCAACAACAACAACAACAACAGCAGCAACAGCAGCAGCAGCAGCAAGTGCAACAACAACAACAGCAGCAGCAACAACAGCAGCGATATGTGGTGCCTCCCCACTCTTCATTTGCCTCCATCCCCGCTCCTACCGGTTTCCGTGAATACAGACAGCCGCGCATTTCCCTTCTCCATTCCGAATACGGGCGACACGGTAGTGGGAGCATTATGGGGAGGGAGGCGTTGCCCGGCGGTGCGCAACTTCATCACGTGGCGACGGCACCGACGTCCATTCAAGAGCAAAGCGGAGGAGGAGTGCCCCACGGAATGACTGGAGGAATGGTGGGAGGGGGTGGAACGCCGTGCAAGAAAATGCGCCTTCAGGACCAGAAGGAAATGCCGCCACTACGGATAGACACGAGGGTAGGTGATGCTATACAATTATTACGTACAATGAAGCGACAAAGTAGAAAGGAAGGCAATAGCGATATATATATATATATAGTTTTAATTTAATAACAAAACTAATAAATTGAAGCGTTTTATTTAGTTTTAAGTATAGTTTTTCCCAGCAAATATATGATATTGCCCTTATGTCTCTCATGTCTTCTACTTTTAATTTTGAGGGTTAATTAATGATGAATAAAAAATAATTTTTGTGAAGTTGCGCTAACGTGACGTCTACACGTATTATTAATAATATGCAGATAAACGTACCCACGTAAGGTCAGCCACTAATCGGCTTAATTTTTTAATGGATTTAATGAAAGTTGCATCTGTTGTATATGTCATTTCATTCGCTAGCTATTTCTAGAATTTTAAATTTAACTCTGCAAACGATTTTAATAATGAAGTTTACCGTAATTGTATTAATATTAATACCGCATTAAATTATAAATAAATTAGAATGCTCTAGATAGTTATCTAATGGGAGGGAATTTAGTTTTGAATTATAAAGTTTTTATCAGCCATTCTAAATCATTGACGTACTGAAAACCTAGTAGAGGATGTTTTTTTTTTTATTCTGTTGGCAAATATTATTTTATACAGAACACAGATTATTTTGTAATTATTAACTTACTAATACATTCGTATGTATTGATGGTATGTGTACCAGGTTTATTTTGGTTAATTTTAGGAAAGTTCTGGAGTGTACAACCCTCAGGTTGAGGCAATTTCTCCAACCTTGCCCGATCACATACAGCAGGAGGATCAGGCGTTTCGAAGTACGAAAGATGAACTGTTGCAGCAAATCGGTAAAGTTGATCGGGAAATAGCGAAAACCGAGTCCCAAATTGGGATTCTGAGGAAGAAAGAGGCTGAACTTGAAGAAGTAGCATCAAAACCGGCGGTTAAAGCGGAGGTTGAGGAGGATAGTCAGCCGAAACATCAGAGTTTAGGTGAGTAATACCTTTACGAAGATATAGAATACCTGGACAAATTGTATCTTTTCTAAGAGTCGTAAAGTTGAAGAAATTACTCTCTGGTAAATGTATGAACCTCATATTTATAGATTATCTCAATCCTTCCTATCTACACCTTAGTGCAAACTGGAGAATACAGAAAGCTCTTTTTAGTCGCTTCTTTAGAGTTCTGTTGTAATGGGTAGGGGGTGCTCGCACTGCCTACCATATAATATTTTATACTTCATTTACTTTCTCTAGCTATGTGCCCCTTCCAATGTCTTGGATGCGCGCTGGCAAAATCGTAGGTAGGGAGAAAAAAGCTCATTATACTCTCGACTTCATTAAACATACTTTTTCATACAGTACCTGCCAAAAGTTTTGTTCAATCATGAATAGTAGTGCGAGTCGAAAACAAGCGTTAAAGCTTTTCATATGTCTTCAAATATAAATAAACATCTCGTTGATATTTTCAGTAGTAAATGGTACCAATAACAGCACATTTGAGCAATGCAATTGTAGTGGATAAAATGGTCAATTTTTCCGTGCAGTACTGTACGGATTATACGCTCCTCACCGGTTAAGAGTTTGGCCGAGAGTTGTCTCCTTCCTTTTCTGGCCTAGTGCTGTTCTTTTCTACTTTGCGCCGGTCAGACTGAAGGTCACATCGCTAGAGAAACTTCTCTCTTCTGACCCCATTTCGCCCGTCTCATCTTTCCACCCAGTCATTCAGTCATTCTTACGATTCCTAAAAGCTGAAGAGCGCTTTCCGCTTTACTGATCGGATTGGTAACTGATAGAAATGAAACGCTAACCCAAAAATTCTACGTATTCTTAGTTCTAGAGGAGGCGGTTGTGACGGAATTGTGTGTAGCTAAGATAGTTAATGGTACGATATTGGCCCCATTTTGAATGTGGTTTAATCTGAATCGTTTGATTGATTGTGCATGTTTAAATGTCAATATTCGGTCGTAGTATGGTCACAGTTTAAAGATATTCTATACAGTAGGTTCACTGTCTAGCTATGCTCATACATCTCCCCTTCCTAAGCTTCACCACCTCGTTAACTGTTTTCCTGCTGTCTACTACAGAGTCTTATCGTGAAGTCACAGTGCAAATACGTTCTGTGTTTCTACACTTTGCTAAGGCTATTGAACCGTTATCGTATACAGATAAGGCGGAATGTTTACATAAAAGTTACGAATTTCTTTGTCGGCATGTTTTTAGTTATACCACACCAGGGGAAATACATAATTTGGTGAAGGTGTGGAATATGTTTTTTTTCAACTACGTCTGTCTGAAATTACCACCATCTTATGACGCTTGGGTAATACATAATTTACCAATTTTAATCTTTGATGTTTTTTCATATTATTATCATTAATCACAAGATCGTCAGTCTGAAGTTCCAGAGCCAGTCTTTGCATTTCACGGAAACTTCAATCTAATTTAATCCAGGTCTTCTTATGTCACTGTTTCTACTCCTAATATGTCTGAATCTAACTAGCCCATTTTGTCTCAGAAGGTCTTGCCCATCTTCTCTCCTTTTCCGAATTCAATTCTCTAGCCCCATCAATTCTACTTTTTCCAGTACTCGCTCGTTGCCAACCATTTCTGTCCATGGTATTTTCATCATACGTCTATAACGTTATATGTCAAAACACTTCTAACATCTGTTTTTCGGTGTACCCATCGTCCACGTTTAGTACCCTTACAGATTCGTGCAATAAACATACTACCCTTAATAGTCTTCCAATTTCCAAAGTAGTAATTGACGAGCCCAGAAGTCCGCTTCCATTTTATTTAAATTTTGACTCCTTACTACATAAAGTACTGCCATATAAGTTATCCGCAAATGTAATCGTTGGCATGCTAATCATTTACCACGTGGAATAATTTTAATCGCATCTTCGATGTATACTTTGAAAATTAGCTCCTTATATTTACGTCTCCACGTTGCCGCAATTATTAAATTACTGTGTGGTATTAAAACTGTTCAGGATGATAATACACCGCTAATGAATCCACTCTTGTGAATATTTCAATCTCTCCTAAAGTTTTTCTTATCCAAAACACACTAAGAGAGAGATCCAGTGGCGAACTAAACCCATCAGGGGCCCGGGGCGACAAAGCTGAATGAGGCCCCCCAGCTTTTAGTTTTTTATTTTTTGTAAAGTGTTATATGTGTTTTCGTGCCTTCAATTTACTGAACTCCTCAATAACTTCTGTGAAATCGATTTCTTTCTAGCACGGCTAGATTAACCAGTCGCTCTTGACGCAACAAAAATCAAAAACGCTGTTACACTTTTTAATGAAATTACTTTGAACGGACATTATCGCGTTTATTACTTTGAAAAAAGGCTTATCCGTTCGCGAAAATATCAGAACACACTAATAAATTATTAAATATCAACGTAATGAAATTTAATATATTTTAAATGAGTCGAATGATTATTTTTCGACGTAAATAGAATGTAGTGAATGTGAATGTAGGCGTACAAGAGTGAATTATTTGCACTTCGTTCGATCAGGAATTTCTGGGGAAATACCCGCTACAAAGACGGGGCCCCCAGCGTATTGGACGCGTTCAGCAAAGTTAGAAGGATATTAGTACCGCGTAAAAAGCCTAGATGGTTGTACTGTTTTGATCTTGATGAAATTATGAAGGTACTAGGCACATTGTTAAGTCTTGTTTAGGATTTGATCAGGGGGTCGCGGTGGCATTTGGGGCCCCCCCAATACCGGAGGCCCCTTCCGCCCCCCTGTTAGTCCGCCACTGGAGAGATCATTTCTATTTCGTTAACAACAATTTGAGAAAGTATCGATTATATTGTTGCTAACTGTTCCTTGAAGTGAAAGATTTGAAATGTTCAATTTGTCGTTTCAGCTAAGAAGATTTACGCCGAAAACAGGAAAAAAGCTCAAACCGCTCACGCCCAGTTGGACACGCTGGGTCCTAAGGTGGAATTCCCGTTATACAATCAGCCCTCGGATACTGTCGTTTATCATGAGAACAAACGAAAGTACGTTGCATTCAAGAAACGCCTCCTGGAATACTTCAAGAAGCGGCACACTGACAAAGTTAGTAAGACTATATATATATGTGGGGTAGATAGACGGTTGTCTCCTCTTTTTTCTTCATTCATTTTTTTTTTTCCCCGGTCCCAAGAAAAAAAATCGGGCTATTTTCGTAGTGGTTTGTTTACGCAGTAAAACTGTGTCTTAAAAATTTATGACGGTGTTTAGATGACCGTTTTTCTTTTATCTGAATTCTTTAGCGTTGGACGAAAGCCATTTCGACGTTCTCGGTTAAGTTGTGATTTTATCAATATTTCCGTAGAAAGAAAAACCAATGTAGCGGAGCTTTTGGAGAATTAATTGAGAGAATCGTTAGTCAAAGTCATGACTATTTATAGAACAGTCTGTCTCTCAGTAAGGGCGTCTGTTCAAGTTGCATACTTTTGAAAACAGTACAATGATGAATTTAAAATTTTTTTTTGGTGTACCTGTACCTTTTTGTTAGACTGGGTTGTAATTGTTGTTCTTCTTTTAGGAGCAGAGAAATAACTATTTAGCTGAAACTTATAGCAAATTGATGCAAGAGTGGCTTAGGAAAGTCGATAAAATCGAAAGTAGTGCCAAGAGAAAAGCGAAGGAAGCAAAGAACAGGGAATTCTTCGAGAAGGTGTTCCCCGAACTACGAAAGCAACGGGAGGATAAAGAAAGGTATTTTGAAACGTCTTACATTTTGATTTTTGTGCTACGAAAACATTTTTTATACCTTTCATTTTTTTTCCAACTGTTTTGTTTCGTATTCAAACATGTCATGTCTTCTCAAAGGCGTAGCGAGAGATTTTTCCTAAGGAAGGAGGCAATTTTCAATAACCAAGTTTATATAGTTTATAATGCCCTCCTTGTCCCTATTTATCTACGCCCATACGTCCTCTCTCCTCTTCACAAGTTGACATTCATCATCATCATCTTAAGTTCTTCAGTCCTAAGACTGCCTGGACACGCACCTCCACTCTTTCCTATCCTGAGCTAATCTTCGCATTTCCCTAAAGCTAAAGCAACCCACATCCTTAACTATTTGCGAACAGTAATATAATCCAGGTCTACCTCTACCCTTCCTAACTCCTGTTTCTGCCTCTAATATGTCTCTAACTAGACCTTCATGCCTGAGAAGGTGTCCTACTAACATATCTCGCCTATTTCTTATTGTCTTCCATATAGTCCTCTATTCTCTTACTCTTCTAATACCTCTTCGTTTCTAACCTTCTCTATCCACGGTATCCTCATCATTCGCCTGTAACACCACATTTCAAACGCTTCTAACCTTTTCTTTTCCGCCGCTCCCACTGTCCATGTTTCGCACCCGTACAGCGCCGTGCTCCAGACATACACCTTTAACATCCTTTTTCGAATTTCTAAATTAACCGTTCACGAGCATAGAAGTGACTTCTTTTTATTGAAGGCGACTCGACCCTGCGCTATCCTCTGTTTTATATCCTTACTACTCCTTCCGTCCTGACTTATCTGACTTCCTATATACCTAAAGTCGGCCACTTCTTCTAATTTTTCGTCTCATATCTTTATATTCGCTCTTTCCCTACTTTTCCTTCCCTTGCATACCAGTGTTTTTATTTTTTTTTATATTGTAATTATGTTATCGTTCTTGGTAAAGTTCTTTCGTACTTCAAGTTTATTTCATTGATCATTCATTTTATTATCTCTGGTATTTAGAAACGTCTTACATTTTGATTCTTGCTTTTTGTGCTTTTTTAAATTTTGACGTGAATTTTTTTTTATGCTACGAAACATTTTCTAGGCCTTTCATGTTTTTTCCAACTCTGTTATGTTTCGTATTCAAACATGACAAGGTCTCTCATAGGCGTAGCGAGATTTTTCCTAGGGAGGGGGGCAATTTTCAATAACTAAGTTTATATAGCTTTAATGCTCTCCTTGTCCCTATTTATCTACGACCATGGGTCCTCTCCTTTTTACAAGTTGACATTATTTTTAATTTTTTTTTGTAATTATTTTATTCTTGGCAAAATACTTTCGTACTTGAAGTTTATTTCGTTGGTCGTTCATTTTATTATCTCTGGTATTTAGAAACGTCTTACATTTTGATTTTTGTGCTTTTTTAAATTTTCTACGTAAATTTATTTTTATGCTACGAAAACATTTTTTATACCTTTCATTTTTTTTCCAACTGTTTTGTTTCGTATTCAAACATATCATGTCCTCTCAAAGGCGTAGCGAGAGATTTTTCCTAGGGAAAGGGGTAATTTTTAAGTTTATATAGTTTATAATGCCCTCCTTGTCCCTATTTATCTACGCCCATGGGTCCTCTCCTTTTTACAAATTGACATTATTTTTAATTTTTGTATTGTAATTATTTTATTGTTCTTGGCAAAGTTCTTTCGTACTACACGTTTATTTTATTGATCATTCATATTATTATCTCTGGTAATTAGAAACGTCTTACATTTTGATTCTCGCTTTTTGTGCATTTTTAAATTTTTACTTGAATTATTTTTAATACTACGAAAACATTTACCTTTCATTTTTATTCCAACTCTGTTTTAATTCGTTTTCAAATATGTCATGTCCTCTCAAAGGCGTAGCGAGAGATTTTTCCTAGGGAAGGGGGCAATTTTCAATAGCTAATTTTATATAGCTTTAATGCCCTCCTTGTCCCTATTTATCTACGACCAAGAGTCCTCTCCTTTTTACAAGTTGACATTATTTTTAATCTTTTTTGTAATTATTTTATTGTTCTTGGCAAAATTCTTTCGTACTTCAAGTTTATTTCGTTGGTCGTTCATTTTATTATCTCTATTTTTCATTATCATTATTTTATCTTGTGGTTCATGTTTTCCATCTTTTTTTGTCATTCAACACTTTCTTTTTTGGTGATCTTTACTTCACTATTAATTTTTGTTGTATTTTCTTCTTATCCTTAGTTACTTTTTATGTTACTTTCTTCATCTCCATCACAATTTGCCTTATAAGTTGGTTTTGTTTTATTTCCAATCTTTTCTTCGTATTCAATAATGTTCTGTCTTCCTCTAGATATTATTTCCTTCTTAAGTTTCTTTTTTTAAATGAAAATCACAATTCTTTACAGAACATCCTTCCTTTTCTGGACTATTTTCATCTTCCATTTCCTTTCTCTTTCGTTTTCAATAATCATATTAAATTTTCTTCTCTCATTTTTTCTTTTTACTTTCATTCTCATTGTTTCTTTCTAAATATGCATCGCTAATTTATTAACTCCAAACTGGTTGTTGTTCCATATGCTTTTTTCATTATTTTCTTCCAAATAATTTGTAGGTTTAACCGAGTTGGTGCCCGAATTAAGTCAGAAGCAGACTTGGAGGAGATAATGGACAATCTTCAAGAACAGGCGCTTGAAGATAAGAAGATGCGCAGTTATGCCGTCATCCCACCTATCTTGAAAGATGCAAAGGAACGGAAACTGACATACCAAAATAAGAACGGTCACATTGTCGACATGGAGGCTGAGTACAAGGGGCGTCAATTTTTAAACGTCTGGACGCCATCCGAAAAAGAGGTGAGTTTTAATTTATAAGAAAACTATTCTAAACATTTGTTATTAAAAGAACTATTTTTTATTGTCCTCTTTTTCTTATCGTAGGTTTTCAAGGAGAAATATTTGCAACATCCGAAAAATTTTTGCGTAGTCTCGTCATACTTAGACAGGAAAAGCGTCTCAGATTGCGTACAATATTATTATTTGAGCAAGAAAACGGAAAATTACAAACAGCTATTGAGAAAATCGAGACAAAGGATGAGGGCGTCGAGGAACAACACGCAAAAGGTCAACAACGCTGCTAACACCAGTGTGGTTGACATTCTTACTACAGGAGTTACGACAAGGTTAGAAAAATGTGTCTATTTTATTTATTTAAAGTCGATATTTTTAACCAAATTCAAAAAAGGATCTTCTCAAATACTTCCACTTTTTAAAATGCCTCAATATATTATGTATATTGATTACTTCAAAATCCGTCTTTGCTTATTCTTTTTGTTATATGAAATGGAATACATTCCCGTTAATCTCATTTAAGTGTCATCGAAATTGTTTCTGTAGTAGCTTCTTCATAATAAGACTGGTTGGACACGTACCTCCACTCCTTCCTATCCTGAGATAAACTTCCTTAACTATTTGCGAACAGTAATCTAATCTAGGTTTACCTCTACCCTTCCTAACACCAGTTTATCCCTCTAATATGTCTCTGACTGGACCTTCATGCCTGAGAAGGTGTCCTACCAAACTATCTCGCCTATTTCTTATTGACTTCCGTAGAGTCTTCTGTTCTCCTATTCTTTCTAATATCTCTCTATTTCTAACCTCTATCCACGGTATCCTCATCGTTCGTTTGTAATACCACATTTCGAACACTTCTAACTTTTTCTTTTTCGCCGCCCGCACTGTCCATGTTTCGCACCCGTACAGCGTCACGCTCCAAACATACACCTTTAACAACTTTATCAAGATCGTCAGTCCTAAGACTGCTCGAACACGCACCTCTACTCTTTTCTATCCTCAGCTAATCTTCGCATTTCCCTAAAACTGGAACATACCCACATTCTTAACTATTTACGAAGAGTAACCTAATCATACCATCTACCTCTTACCCCTCCTAACTCCCGTTTCTGCCTCTAATATGTTAAGATTACCTATATTATGTCATGTAGTCAGAGGTATTTGCGTTGTCTGTAAGTAAATTTTTTGGACACCTAGACCATTAAGTTTCCTTGTTTTAGATTGCAACGTGAGCAACAACAAAAGACAGGCAATCAAGGAATAAATAATAATAACAATAGCAGAAGCGATACTTCGACCACGGACACGATCTCGGGTACCCCTTCTACCACATCCTGCACGTCCACCACCTCTTCTACAACATCGACGCCCTCCTCGTCAGCGCTAGGAGCTGTTACATCTTCATCCTCCACCGACATCATAATGTCGTCGGCGTCATCTCCAATAAGCGTGTCGACGTCCACAACAGCGCCTTCGAACACCACTAATACGTCCATCGCGGGGTCCACGACGTCCACCACATTTACCTCGGTCTCGTCGTCAGTCGCGACTGCTATATCTGTCGAAGCTACGAACACTACGGCGACGATTACCTCTACGTGCTCTAGCCCGGTTGGAGTCGGCGACGTGACAATGACGACAACGACCACGATAACACCTACAACCGCGAAAATGGCATCCGAAACGTCGGAAGAGGCCGGGGCTGTGACCAACGTAGCGGGTGGTGCCGCTAATACTTGTGAAGAGAACGCGACGAGCGGCGATAAGGGAGACAAAACTATGTTTAACGACTTTAACAGTTTCGAAGAGCACAGGGTAAGGTGCGCGGGCGCGACGATAACAGATGGCGACACGAAGAGCGGGAGTGGTGAAGGCGTAAACGTTATAGAAAGTGGACAACAGAGCGCAGGAGTAAACGGAGTTGTTAAGAGGGAAGAGGGGGCCCAAGAGAATTGCATCAGGTGGGTGATAATTATTTATTATTATTATTTCCTTTTATAGCGGTTTTAAGGTTGATATCAGTAAAAAGGGGGCACGGGGGAAATATGAAAAGTTTCAATATTAAAATTACGGGAAATTATTTTACTGGAACGATCAATGAAATGTGAGGGATTTTTGTAACTAGTTCCAGTTATTATAAAAAATCGGTGATGAGACAAAGAGTTTGACAAAATCATTCATCAAGCATTGCAATAGAAGTAAATAAAACATTCAGTTTTTAGGATACTTTTTGATCTAAGATCGAAGTCATTCGGTTTACATATATTGCCCATTAACAAAGATTGTCAGCTTAATGGCATAAATGAATAATTTTTGGTTAAGTTTGGTGTTTTCAATCATGTATTTACATGTGCGTTATCTCTGACTAATATCGTCTTCTCCAGTTATACGAGCAGGTAATTTTAGTCGATATTGTACAACTCAACTCATACATCCGGTAAATTTGACTACACTAGACTACTCGATTTAAGCTCCTTTAGCCTAAAATTTGGCCTTTAACTAAGTAAAAACGAATTAGAACGCCTAATAGAAAATATACCGCTGTATACTGTCTGTATGCAGTAAAATTCGCTTATAACATGTACGGCTATTACGGACTCACGGATATAACATACCATATCAAAAGTCCCGGAACTTTTAGTGAGCACTCCATAGAAAAATAATTTTTATAACCTTAGTTATTACGTACTACTGAAATGAAGTACCAAAAATCTGTGTCCGAACGTAAAAAACAGCAAAAAAACTTACTTTTTATATTTATAAAACATTTTTGTGTGTTGGCAACCGTGTATTGCATGGCGTGGCACGGCGATACGATAAGTAAATGGCTACCGGTTTTTTAGTTCACCGATAATTTTACTTTGTCCTTTTTTATTTTACTTTAGTTTCATTAA